TTTTATTGGAATAAATTAGCAGTAACACAATATAATCATCAATGACAATAAACCGTCTACCGGAATAGACATTTAAATACCAATTAATTACCATGTATTTTACTATTTGTATTATTAAAATTTTGTAAAACTCTCGGTGTTGAAATTAAAACCAAATCATAACTAACCTTCTAAGATGTTTTGTAGACAAAATATGTAATTTTTATCTTAAACTTTGTCGATTCATTTAAATCTTAATTTTCTTTATTAAAAAGCTAATATTTTTTCAATATTTTAAATTTTATAAATAAAAAAATAAGAACAAACTCATAAAATTGAAGGTTTCATACAAATTTATATTATTCAAATGTAGTACAAAACCATTATTATTTATTCCTATTAGATTTCGCAGTCCGATTCACCAAATAACCTCTTTCAATTAATTTATCTCAAGCGATACCTTACATAAAAATTAATTAATTGAAAGAAATTATTATTTATGTTTTACACTCTCTGTTGAATCGTTCTCAAGAATCGTACCAACGTTCTACTAGGTTACATGTTGGACAAACTAAAGTTTCAACACTGTACATGTAAATGTAATAATTTGCATTTAATATGTTAACAGACGGTTATATTATTGATGCTGAAATAATTCCGAGAGTATTGATTCGCGGCATACAACTATCCATCTTGGTCTGTCAGGACCTTGCGTTGCTCCTAATGATCTGCATTGCGTGTCCTTAGGTTAAACGGATATGCATGATATTCTCATAAAGCATGTATCTTGGACTGGGAAGATATGCTTAATCAGACGGTATTCCACCACCTTTATCACATAAAGTTCAACGAACAAAGTGTTCAATTTTCAATTAAGATTAAATGTTATAAAATTATTATTCAAAACATAATTTAATTGAAATCTTTTAATATTTCAAAATCATTTCTGAAGGATACAAGCAATTTTAACATTTACGTTTCGAAATGTATATCTTCTTTGAAACTACATTTGGATAGTAATTTTTTAAAATGTAAATAGAGAAAAATTGTTTTAATACAAAACCTACATATAATATAATTTGAATGTGATTTATACATTTATAAATTGTGGTCATTTTTCTTGATGGTGTATGTCTGGAAATTGTCAATTTAATAAATAGTAATAGTTATAACGATTTATGTTGTGCTACTTAATAGGCAGAATGGTTGGTTATAAGAAATAACAAACCATTTGTAGCAAAAGTAACATTGAAAGGATTAAGCTGGAAAAACAGACCGAAAAACTAAAATTAGTGAAATTTTGAATTCAGAAGAACATAACAGAGGGAGACAAAGTTGTCTTCAAACGATTTATGATGGGCCACACCCGCCTGACACATGCGCACCTCTGTGGGACAGGAAACATATTTTAGAAAAGTGTGAGCGATTAACATCATGAAGCACCATCTTATAATCTTTATATATATATATGTATAGATAGGTTTATTGGATCTCTAAACTAATATGGTCGTATATATATTATAACTTCTCACACTTGTTTTTTATCCCATTTATTGATATGAATATATTTATTTGCGTGAATGAGTAAGTGTACGGCGGAATATAGAGTACTCCATAGAGCTGTTGTTAAACTAATTATGGTTTGATAAGTGTAGTTAATTTGCACAGTTTAGGAGAGCATGACATCAGTGTAATAGCAAATACCCTTCCCCCAAATTTTTAATTATAAGTGCAGTTTGAAAGATTTTATTTGTAAATGCATTTATTTGCGTGAGTAGTTATGTGTGGGTGAATGTGTCTGTAATGCAATATAGAGTACTCTACAGACGTGTCAAGTAAGTTATGTTACGTTCACAATAAATTTTTTTACTTACTGTGTGCGCGGTGTGTTGTTCGTTTTGATATAATACTTAATGAATTAGTACCCTTCTCCACGTGTAAGGTAAAGCGTCCATTGACTATGTATGTTTGCTCTGTACCACATTTTAGAGAGAAAATGATAGCCGCTCTTAAAGGTACTAATCTTTGGAGAAAAAGGTAGACTTGTAGACTTATGTGGATTCCGGTGAAAATTTTAGTTCATCGCCATTATTATCACAGGTGAAATAGTTTATTAGCTTAAAATAATGTAATGTACGTAATAAAGTATTTTATTAGCTATTTTTCTTCCGTAATATGTAATGGTTCAAAATATATAAATAATAAAATCGTTGTAATGAACTGAAAAACATAATATGGCAATAAAATTCATGTTATTACCTACAGGTAAAGCCAATTCTATGAAATAATGAAAAAGGCTTTGTTATTTCGACTTATTTTCTTTTGAATATAAGAAAATGATTAGTCGGGCTCACGAGCGAGAAAAAAGTGCTTTTTTAACACCCCAGAACCACGTAAATGACACCTATACCGGTGAAGGGCTCGTAAATAAAATTTGGGGTAGTGGGAATGAGCAATAAACGGGTAATCGCTTCTAATTGCTTTCTCGTTTGTGGGGGCCATGGATAGCGAAGCTGAAAAGACGTGGATTCTTTGCATTGGGCAGGAATTAAAACGGGTCTTGGATATTGGTGTAATTCCTTTGTGAAACAGGAATGCTCTTCCAATATAGCCGGCCTCCTTTTATTAAGAACTTGAGCCCCTTGGCTTGCAAAAATTCTGGCTTTAGATCACTAGTTATAAATAAACAACTTAAATACATAAGATACCATTATTGGCTTAACAAAAACGAATTGACGTACAATATAAGTAAAGAGTAAAATTTACTATCGAAGTTAAATAATACAATTTAATAAATCTACTAGTTTTACTATTGTGATGTCATACACATATCTGTACCCTGTCCAATAATTTTACTTGTAAAGTTACTGGACTAAGCTTTGAAACATCTAAGGAAGATTATGAAAGTATAAATATAATGAGTTATGTTCATTTCCAGGTTCGTCACCTAAGGTCAATTCTTGCCCAGCTTCACCCCTTCGCCATACACACTTTCGTCCTATTTCTTTTCTCGTGAAAGAAATACGCTAAATAAGAAATGAAAAGTTTCATAAAATGCAAATTATTGTCTTCTTTGGCCAATTTTATACATGAAAACGATGTACTTTATAGGAAAAATGTTACGAATATGAACCCTCATCCTACTCAGATTTGCTCTTAGGCAAAACATTTCTGCTTTCAATCTTGTACGTGGATAATAATCTTGAGATGAAAGATTGTAGACGGGATTTAAACTCTCCGTGAACAAGATACGTGATCACAAAAAGCCTTTCAATAAGTTGAACCGTCGGTGGCTGCAACGGTTTAGCCGTTGACACGGCGCTCACCGCTGTCAGGTAAAGGTCCAGAGTTCGAATCCTGCGTCCCTGGATTGAAACCCGACATACCTACAAATGTTTTTTTTTCTTTTTTTCAAAAACACCGACACTTCGTGGGTAGATATGACATTTCTTGTTGCGAATCTTCGTAAAAAAATAAATGAAATAAAAATAAGCTCAACTTTGCACACATGTGTACAGAATTGAACGAATCTAAACACTATCACATCTCAAATACAATATTTCCTATTTACATGCCATTCACTCGGAATAGCAATACTTGATATATTCCTCCCTATATATAGTTAAAACAAACCTGTGCCCTCCAAAAATCAGATCAAGGGACCCAAATATTGGCTTCCGGGCTTAGTGCATTCCTTCTCGCACCGTATATGAACCCGCTGAATGAAACTCTTTACAGAACAGTACATCGAGCAACCTTTGTCTCCACGCGTGACACAATGTGCAAGCCTTGGTATTTGGTTACAGCGAGATTCGCCTGCCAACACTTAACCAGTTGCGGCCACCAACGTCCTCTCCAAAATTATTTATGAAACCAAACATTGATTAATAGTTAACGTTTTTTAATGATACTGTTAATTATATTTATTAATTTTTATAACTATCCACTAGGGTTCGACGTAATTATTATGTGAGCAACGCCATTGGGTGTTTTTTCCTCTTAAGTTCTACTTACAGTATTTGCATATCCTGCCATGAAAGTATAGTGTACTTTTATAAAATCAAATTTTTAATTTCAAAATAAGAAAAACGGATTAATTAAATTTAATAAAGTTTGGGTTACATAATGTTCGTTACAATATGACGGATTGTTACATATTTATATCAAGTAAAAACCATATAAAATTAATAATTAAAATTGGACATTTGACTGACCACCAGAGAATATAATATTTTTCAGAACAAACAAACAGTCCTAATGATATGTGACAGATGAACTTTTCTTTTATTAAAAATTATACACGTATTTACCCTTATTTATATTATTCATACACTTTTGGAATGTTAAATAATATCGTACTTTGTCTTATACTATAAATAAACTTGTAGTATCTCTTGTAATTGCTTTTATTTATTTGACGAATAAATATTGGAAATGACTGGTTAAAACTGAAGAAATTTGCGTAATGAAAAATTTATAATTATGTTTAAGCTTGTATTTTATTCTCTCAATAAAAAGAAAATGAATAAAAATCTGTAATAATGACAATGAAATATTAATTAATAAATATATCCAATAACACGTATTTTAACCTTATTTTTTGCATGATTTTCCTTATTTATTAAAAAAAATTGTTCGCATTTCTTTTGTATTTTTCACACAAATAACGACGGACAATTTCCGCCAATGTCAACATCTCAATCGGCCAATCATTCGAAAATTTTGGGTTTTCCTTATGAACCCATACGATTGTTTGTCAAGAAAAGTTTGGAGACGAAACTTTACTACTGGTAAAAGTTCTAACTTGACTTTTGTGTACAAGAAGAAAAATCAATGTGGTTAGAACTAGCTTCTGTTGGCCTGCTACTATTATCTATTGAGGTCCGAGTTCAAAACAACCTCGTCCAAGGAGACAAAGAGCTCTTTCATATTTTCTTACACAACTTTCCGTTCAAAACCCTTTTATTTTGAGTGAATCAAATTGACTGTTACTTAACAGCTGTTGTTCTTTTTGTTCGCAGGTCTGTCCAGTGGATTGGCCCGGAGCCGTAACTTTGGGAATGTCTGTGATAACGATGACTCGACGTGCATAGTTTTTATTTTTTAATTTTATAACGAATTTTTCCTTATCTACGCCATTAGATAATGCATTTAATTGTGGCCTTGCATATTATTTGCCGTTGTTTAGCTGCATGTATGTATGTTTTTTGTGTAGGTGAAAATTCGTTTTATGTTTATGAAGCTAATTTTTTTTATTATGCATCTTTCCTATCGAATGACTAGTTCAGAGATGTCCTCAAGCTTCTTTAAAATATTTTTGTAACACCTACTTTTTCATGTTTTCGCGTGTTAATGCGATTTATGTACTGTGCAGGGCTACAATTCATAATTCTAGTCATACTTAATACTCCAATTATTTATTAGAAATTTTCTACGAATTGTGTATATATGAAATAAAAAATGTATATATGTAAATAACGAGATTGGAACAAAAAATCTCTTTTATAAATATATGTGGTAGTTTTTCAAAAAGCGTTGTCTAATTATCTGTCAGGTGCTGGCGCAAAGGCAGGCCATTGTCCACAAATCACCTTCCTAACGAACCTTAACTATTTACCAAATAGGGGCGATATAATATTTTTTCATCCGTCCATGCTGGTCCTCTCACGGTCCTATGTTTTCCGAGCAGGTAGTACGGATACGGCAGGGCTGCCCTTATGATCCCTTGGAACCCTCTTTCGCTTTCCTTTCAGCCCTCCGAATCCCTCAAGATTTATTTTCAAACGTCTCCGCAGCCTCTAAGCGCAGCCAATTTCCAGCCCCTCTCATGAACCAGTTTCAGATTATTGCATTTCCACATTTACTGGCAATTTCCTGCCCTTTGAACAAGTGGGATTAGTATGTAGGGTTTAATCATTAACGCCTGTTTCCACAACGGCGTCTAAGAATGTCAAAACCTCATGCTCTCACTTTGGCCTTCAGGTTAAAGGGAGATGATGAGAAATGAGTGGAGAGAGGTAAAATAGCCCTTTAGGCTTAGGTGGCAGAGAAGCAATCTTCTCCCTGAACGAGTCTTTCCATAACAAATTGTAACTATTATAAGGAAAACGTTTTAACTCCAACATCGTCAAACCATAAAAGGTAATTGATGGTCAACTAAAGAGCTCTCAAATCCTTCATTGCTTTGGAAAAACCAACAGAATATACCATAATTTAATTTAGTATTACTAAACAATTAATAAAAAATTCACTTGAGAAATAAAAACATTTTTTCATTGGTTACAAATGGACAATGTAATGAATGTAATGTACAGAAAGGTAAGTTTAATCATGATTTATCTTCAAAGAAATGAACGCAATTTTTAATTAGATTAAGTTTTAAATAGTAAAACATTTCTTAGCAAATTGGAGTAAGAATATAAAAGTATTGTTTATAAAAATAGTGGAATAAATTATAAAATAATATTGTAAGTGAGAACTTAAAAAGCTCGTGTAGTTTCTTACCGGCTTCGTTTTTCTTTATTGCTTAAGGAATTTAAGAGTAAGTAAGTAGTATCGTTTATGTAATTGTTTTCCGCATGAATGCAGAGTATCGTTTTAAACATATGGCTGCATGTTACTTTTACTTACTGTAAGTATGTTGTCTTAAATGTTCAACTGTTGCGTAAATTTTATAGTTCAGTTACCACCCCAGGTTTATTTTCAGTGTATTCCTTATGAATTATTTAATTTGAAATATTTAAAAATGTTTATTACATATAAAGCATATACATTTACAATTAATACGATTAACAAGAAAGAAAGAACGGTGAAAGAATTTTGTAATTGATACAGTAAATTTCAATTAGTAGAAATAAAATAGTACAGGATTAGGAATTAATTAACAACGTTGAATTAATGGTCATTACCATAAAGCGTAGAGGGCAAAATTGGTTTGTCCCATTTATCGGTTAACTAAAGACATGGCATTTATATTTTCTAAATGAGAAAAACCCATATTATATCCGATTTAAACCCAATTTATTATAATGATGAGTTTTATTTATATCTAAATCGATTTAGCTTTAAGCGGTACATTGGAGGATTTTTTAAAAAAGTAGAATATAAATCAAGCATTCTTAGATTTTTCAGAAAGTATTTAATTAAATATATAAAGTTCTTATTTCGAACTTATAGTTCTAACCTGATGGAGCCGTATTTGACCTTTTGTAGCCTCAAGGCAATAAAAATGTTAATGGCCTAATTAAAATTGGTAAAAAATAAAAGCCATAAAATCGTACTGTGCTCCCGTTTCATTTTTCCAGGTCTAGTGAACCCGACGTTTTGGTTGATTGTCCCGGACTTAATTACTGCACTGTTTTGATTAGTACTGATTACACTTCCCGTCCATACATTCTGCATGGAACTCGTTAAGCTCTGACGTTTATTTATGTTTACCGTGAAACATTTTTAGAAATCACGGTTTATAATTGTTTCACGTTTTACAAGAAAATTCAATTTGAGTACAAAAATAAATATAAATTTAGTTAAAACAACCGTTTTAATAGTTTTTTAATTCTCACACAATCTAAGTTATGTCAAAGCTTATATAGATAAAAAGAATATTAAGAATATATTTGGAATTCTTATTTCTTTTAAACATGAATTTCCATCAGAATTTGTTGATAATTAAAAATTAACGAAATGTATAAAAAATAAATTCCTAAATTCGAAGAAACTAAGAATAATACTATTTGCCGTAATCAGTATTAATGAACCATTTTTGTTATTTTAAATATGAAAAAAAGAAATGGATGGGAGGAGAAAACAGTTTGTCTTGCGAAAATATTAATTTGTTGAATATTAGCAAGGTAATTCCTGTCATACAAGAGAGCATAACGATCAACGAATAGGTATCGAGGACGATGGATCAAATCAAATTACAATACTTTTCATACCATGACAATAAAAAAGCCAATGACTAACTATGATTCGAACCCAGGACCACAAGCGTGGCGTCGGCGGACGAATTAACAATGATTTTTGAAAATTGGTATACCTTCGACAATTAAACAAATAATATTATAAACTATCATAATTTTTAAATAATGAATTGTTGTTAATTCGTTAAAAAAGAAAACGTACAAAAACATACCAAAATAAAATTTAATTTAGTTAATTGATCATTTAAAGTCTGCTCATTCACGCGTTTTTCCCCATTTCTCAATTTTCAGTGTGTACGACGCATACGAGGACAGGAAGACCAAAATGATCCGTAACGACCAAATTACAGTTTCGTTACCAAACAGACTATACAGAACGATATCATATAATTAAAATGCATACACTAAACATATTCAATAATTATTCAGATATTTTGAGATGCGGTCGGGTGTGATGTAGGTTTCAGAAAAACATTTTCTTTATCGTACCAACGTTTCGATCTTTTATTGAGCCATGAACATGATCTCAATAAAAGATCGAAACGTTGGCACGATAAAGAAAATGTTTTTCTGAAGCCTACATCACACCCGACCGCATCTCACGATATCTGAATAACTATCGATTAACGGTCACTAATCTCTACATATATTCAATAATTAATCAAGGTTAATAAAGAAATTATTTTATTACTGTTTATTTTGTTTGCATTTTTTACATAATGAAAACCAAAAAAATCTCATATGCTTTGTTGTAAAGAAGCAGGCTAATGCTAATTTTACCCTATAATTATTAAATGCTTAGATACTTATTTTAAAATTATTTAAATTTTTTTGCTATAAGAAAATAATCTGTGACCTAGAATATTCTGCCATAGCTGTTTGAAATGCAGGGAAGTGTTATAATGTACGACAGTGAATAAAGTATAATGTTGTCGGTTCTGGTTTCAGGAAAGGGCCTGTAATTACATTGCTTCAGGAGCTCAACTTTTATTCAGTATATTTCACAGCGTTTGAGGAAAGGTTTCTTTCCTCCATAATATTCTTAAAATGTTTTTGAAACAAATTCAAGTTGATATTTAATTTCTTGAAAAAAATTTCTTCTCTGACTTTTTATGAATGTAAAATTAATTGTTTAAAGGCAACAGTTCTTAAGTTGTTTTAAAAGCTTAATATCAACTAGAAAAATATTTATTAGTAGCCTGACCAAATAGTATCTATATTTGCACAATATTTATTGAAAATTGAATTCACCTGGGTACGAATAAACAATCAAATAAAATAAACATCAACACAACAATCACTTTTCGAACAGAATGGTGGTAAAAAGAAAATAAACACAACTCAATAATGCAAACAAAATAAATGTGTACCGCACTTAACATATTTCTTTAAAAGCTTGAAAACTTTGTGCTTTTAGGGTTAGTGTTTTCTCGACGATTTTGAAAATTTTCAAATATTTTTGAAATTTTGATAAATTATAAAACATTATATTATTCATATTTTAAATAATTATATTATTATAATGTTATTATTTGTTAATGTTTTTTGATAGATACAGTGATAGATAGATATAGTTTGAGAGTGTGGGAGAGAGAGGCAGAGAATATAGAAAAGTAGAACACTTGAAAACACCATAATACATACAGTGTATGTATGCATCTGGGTCCATGCAGAGATAATATACAGATATAATATTCAGTCTAGCGAGAATCTGTAAAAATCTTCAACGTTCTAAGCTCACAGTGACTGTTAGACTGCTCTTACTGACAGACGGACTTCAGAAATATTTTAAAAAATAAATAAAAAGCAGTCGGTAATAGTCAAAGGTTTATGGATGGTTTGTGGTTTGTAAGAGTTCGTCTGGAAAGCTTAAAAATATTCATAGACAACTGAAATTTTATTTGCATATACATGATAATATAATATTTACAGTAGAGTTTATAACTAACAAAATTTACCTCCAGCTACTGAAGGTCGGTGTCTAAGTGATTACATTAAATTATTTGTCTTTTGGGAAAAAGTTTAGACCAAAACTGCCAGCTGGCGTGTCAAAATTGTAGGAGAGCGTTATTTATTCTCCAGTGAAACTTCTTTTTGTCTCAGCTGAAATTACATATTTGTAGCGGATTTTTCCAGTATTAGTCATTGCTTTAAAATGTTAATTTTTACATCTCTGATGTTTTTCAACACCTCAACCCCGTGCAGTTCTAATTCTGTTACAAGCCTCAGATGCTTGTTCTGCTCATCCTTAAGGTTGTAGACATGTCTTGCGTTTGACCTTGTACAGCAGAAGTTTATTAATGACAGACTGACGTGATGACAGAGTAGAGAATAAAGTATGGGGATATCCGATTTTCCCTTGTTAGTTTTATCATTTCCATAACTGGTCAACGTGAGTTTACGCCCGAATCATTCAAAGATATTTGACTAACTCGGGCGACGTCACAGTTATCCTTTCAATGTAGAATTTCTATACAGCAACGGTATACACTTGCTAAAAATTAACGCCTCCGTTTTATAATGTTTAATTTTTATTTTTAAACGGCTGTAGAAA